ATTTTGAAGATCCTCGCGAAAGGATAGCCGGTTAACAAATTGAGATGTTACATAAAGATGATTTTGAACTATCGCTTCGTGTAACTACAAATGTCAAATTCTATTTTAATTCATATCCTATCCTATTTTATGAAGTAGTTCAGTGAATCTTAAAATGTCAGATTCACTGCGTACTTTGTCAACACCAGTAGTTGATTTTGGTATGTCGCGTATTACCTTTTCGTTAAGGGTCTTATTACTGACCGTAGTAGTAACAATCTAACGCGTCTCATCAACTTTAAGAGGAAATCGATGAGGATGATCGTTTCACTGAAGAAACTCCGCTTACAGCGGCCTCAAGAGGTTTAGAAGATGATGATATTCTACCTTGTATATTTATGATTTTGTTGTTGGTCTATCCGTGGAAGAAAAAAAAGAAATCAGAATTAAACTTTTTTATACTTTTTATAGTTCATTCAACGACTAATAATAAAAACAGTTCTTGGATTACTTTCAAAACCCGACTCAGATATTATGTTCCGGTCTTCAGCTGGCTACCATCTTATACATTTCAAACTTTTTGGGGTGATTTTGTCGCCTCGTTAACTGTCACGACTATTCTATTACCTTCAGGATTATCATATTCTGTATTGGCAAAATTACCGGCTGTTCACGGTTTATATAGTATAGTAATACCTGGAATAGTTTATGCCTTTCTTGGAACTTCGAGGTAAATATCCGTGATTTATATTTCCATGATTAGATAATTTCACTAGTTAATCAAATTTATGAAAATTTTTTTTTCAGGCAATTGGTTATTGGTCCTGAAGCTTTAGTATCCATGCTTGTAGGTTCTTCGATTGTGCAGCAACAAAAATATTTAGAGAAATCTGATCCTGAAACAGCTATTATAATTGCTGGATTGATTACATTTTTTGTGGGTATCTTGACGCTCATTATAGGAATATTCAGACTGGGTTTTATCGATTCTGTATTATCTCGCGCTCTTTTAAGAGGATTCATCTCAGCTGTGGCAATCGTGATCATAATTGAACAAGGTTTAACGATGACTATGTTAACGGAACAGGCAATCAGAGATGGTGTTGGTCATGCCGCTTCAACAGTAGAAAAATTCATTTATATAATTACCCATTTTGGTGAAGCCCATAGACTTACGACTTTAGTTTCATTCTCTAGTTTTATTTTTCTTCTGATAGGTGCTGCTCTCAAATCAAGGTATTCAAGGCGATATCCTTGGGTTCAATTTATTCCTGAAATTTTAATATGTGTGATTATTTTTACTATTTTATGTGCTATTTTCAAATGGGATGAGGATGGTGTCCTTATACTTGGTCATATTCAAGGCGGTGGTTTTCCTTCTTTCCAAATTCCTACACCACCACATAAGATACATATACTGGATTGTTTCCAAACTGCTGTTTTGATTTCAATTGTTGGGTTTGTAGAATCGATTGTGGTTAATTTAATATGTAGTTTTTTCCAAGGTTTTCCTGCATATGGTGGTATGGCGAGGAGTAGCATAAATGATAGAGCTGGTGCTAAAACACAATTTTCTGGATTGATAACTTGTATATTTGTACTTGTTTGTCTGTTTTTCCTCCTTCCTTTATTTTATTATCTGCCCAAATCGGTTTTGGCGTCAATTATTAGTTTTGCAGCGTTAACATTAATGCATGAGCTTCCTGATGACTTGCATTTCATGTATAAAATCAGAGCATGGAATGATTTTGGTTTATTATTTTTGACTTTCTTTATTACAATTTTTGTTTCAATCGAATACGGCACATTGATATCAGTTGCATTGTCTTTGGTGCTTGTGGTTAAGCATACCACTTATCCACGTATTGCCATATTGGTAATTTATTGATTTTAAAATTCTCGACAAATATTCAAATGATTGTTCAAATATTCATTATCTTTTTTTATTTATTTTTTTAAAAAAATGTATAGGGTCGTATTGGTAATACCAACAAATTTAAACCGATCAAGGACTTTCCTGATTCTGCTGAGCACGTAGAAGGTGTACTTGTTATTCGAATATCAGAGCCTTTGTATTTTGCTAACACTGGTCAATTAAAAGATCGATTAAGACGATTAGAAGCGTTTGGTGATATGAGTGTTCATCCTTCTGAAGAGGCGCGATTGTCACCAATTGAAAACGTAATTTTTGATATAGAAATTATGGAAGATTTAGACGCTAGGTAATTTATTAAAATAACATTAAATGACTAATATTTATAATTATACTAATTCAATTCTAATATTTGTGCATGTTAAGTGCTGCACAAATTCTCGTAGAAATAGTAGAAGCTTATCACAGCCGTAATGTCCATGTTTTCTTTGTAAAACTACGTGAAAACCAAAAGAGACTTTTCGTTCTATCAGGATTATGGAATAAAGTAGGGGAAGACCATTTCTTCGGGTAATTTTGATTTATTTGGTTTAATATCCGATTTTTCTTCCACATTTTAGCTAATTACATATTATTTTCTGCTTAAACAGGCAAATTTCTGATGCATTAGATTATATTAATAGGAAAGGGTTAGGAATTGGAATCGAATAACTATTCGATAATTTATATATAACCTTTAATATGTACTGATTACTATTGTACGTAGGGGTTCTGAACCATGACACTAGATTATTTTCAATTGTAAGATATCGGAAATGTGAAATTCTGGATGAATACTGATATCATTAACTTTTTCGTCATGCAAGCGTGACAAATTTAATAATAATTCTGTTCCAATCACTAGGATGAACTAAGTATAATTTATACCTAAATTTTTAAATTTGCTAAGTTTTTAAAATATATTTTAATCAAAAATTTTCACATTTTATTTTTGCATTTCTTTTTGGTATTCCTATTAGTCCCTTATAACATGTAATTTTATTCAACCTATTTTTACATTGAGTTTTGATATATATAGAACAAGTAACACTGTTATCGGTTTATCTTATTTAAAATATTGGGATTTTTGTTACTGATAAGATTTTTACCAAAATCGCTTTATATCTTGTATAATAAAGTTGTCGTTTCAAAATAAATTCCATACTAACTTAATTTTACAATATGTGATAAAATTGAAATTCATCAAATTTCATTAGCGTTAGTCGAAAAAAATTTTAACATGGTTACATTAACCTTATTACTGTTATGAAAA